GAGTTTGATTCGTTAACGAGCTAGTAACATAAAGCAAAGCTAAAAACAGGTTGCATTGATACACGTTTTCCCATTACAATCAGTTACACTGTGATGAAGGTGAATTTCGTGTAAGATTCATAACATATACGCCGTGTTTTGCATGTAATTGTGTCTCTTACTAGTCTCTTACCCTCCTCGAGTCAAACGAGTGCGCGCATGTGGGCAGCGCATGTAGCAGCGGGGGTGTTGCCATGGTTGCGAGAAGAGTGACAGTCGCCTAAGCCAATCCATTGTTTCGTCCCGGAAGGAAATAATGAGCTGTGTTTAGTGCAGATTAAACGGTCTAGAGTCACTCGATTTTTATACTCTTTTTATCAGAGTACTTACATTTTAATTATGCATTGATATATATAGAAAGTTTAAACAAATTTGGGAAAAAGTTTTTTAGACCAAAAACGACCTACCCTACCTTTAAGGTCTTTCTCATTATTTTTTTATTTTGTAATATTTTGTAACTATTGATGTAATATTAACCCTAACTAGACAGAACTTACTAAATGTTATTTTAAGGCTATCTTGTTATCATAGAAATGTTTGTATAGAGTGATAAAAGCCAAAATGGTCAATAAATTAGAAGTTAAGGTATTTTGCCTTTGTATGACCCATTATTGTTTTGCAGATAATGCAAAGGCAGAATACAGTAACTTCCGAATAAGGGTCAAAGGTCAAGTTTGAGCTAAAAAAAAATTAATGTAGATAAATATATTCATTATGACAACTACTTGGCAAATTTTCATTGTCCTACCTATCATACAATTGGCTGGACAACAAAATAACTTTAAAGTCATTTTTCTCAGTTTCACACTCTGGTGAGTTAAGGTCTTTTGCCTTTGTAGGGCAGAGTATGTCACCAGAGCCCAACGCACACCACCGATTCACTTCGCACATACATCCTTGGGCACTGGCCTAGCATGGCTAGGGATGTGAGAAGGTTCGTCCAGGGATGCACGGACTGTGCCATGGCCAAGAGTCCTCATCTGGCAAACTTCTACCGCTGCCCGTTCCCAACCGGCCATGGTCACACCTAGGAGTGGACTTCATGTCTGACCTCCCACCTTCTGACGGTAATGCATGCATCCTGGTGATAATTGACCGATTCTCCAAATCCTGTCATCTTCTCCCCCTCAAGGGACTACCCACAACAATGGAAACAGCAGAACTCCTCTTCAATCACGTTTTCAGATACTATGGACTCCCAGAAGACATCGTTTCAGACCGTGGACCGCAGTTTATATCAAGGGTATGGAAAGCGTTCTTCTCCCTCCTAGGTGTGACCGTAAGCCTATCGTCCGGGTACCATCCGCAGTCGAACGGGCAGACCGAGAGGAAGATCCAGGAAATTGGCCGTTTTCTACGAACCTTCTGCCAGGGCAACCAGAACTCTTGGAACCAGTTCCTAGGCTGGGCCGAGTATGCCCAGAACTCCCTCCATCAACTGACTACAGGACTCACTCCCTTCCAGTGGGTACTCGGTTTCCAGCCACCATTGTTCCCGTGGTCAGGGGAACCGTCCAACGTCCCAGCAGTCGACTACTGGTTACGAGAGAGCGAGAGGGTCTGGGACACACTGTTACAGATCTGCCAGTCTCTCACACCAGCCAATCACAGCGCACTCCCTCACCTGGGATCTGATCACACACACCTGCACCTCATCATCACTGCCAATACTTAAGCACACACTTCACCACAGCTCACTGTCCGGTCTTGTTTGTGTGAATAAAATTGACTACTTGCCTCACCTTGCAGCAACCTACCTGACTTCTCCAGCGATCTCTCTCTGTCTCTGTCTCTGTCTCTGTCTCTGTCTCTGTCTCTGTCTCTGTCTCTGTCTCTGTCTCTGTCTCTGTCTCTGTCTCTGTCTCTGTCTCTGTCTCTGTCTCTGTCTCTGTCTGTGTGTCTGTGTGTCTGTCTGTCTGTCTGTCTGTCTGTCTGTCTGTCTGTCTGTCTGTCTGTCTGTCTGTCTGTCTGTCTGTCTGTCTGTCTGTCTGTCTGTCTCTCTCTCTCTCTCTCTCTCTCTCTCTCTCTCTCTCTCTCTCTCTCTCTCTCTCTCTCTCTCTCTCTCTCTCTCTCTCTCTCTCTCTCTCTCTCTCTCTCTCTCTCTCTCTCTCTCTCTCTCTCTCTCTCTCTCTCTCGTCCTTCCTCTGTGTCTCCAGCGATTCTGCATACCATCCTTCCACGCCTTCATCTATCCATCAGCATTCCTGTAAGAAGATACATTCCATTCACTGCCAGCATCCCACTCTCCAATCTATCATTGCACTTCCTACTCACCTGCTTCCAGTTCACCCGCTCATTGTTGTCCAAATAAACTTCCTGTTTACTTCATCTCTGTCTCGTGAGTCTGATTTCTTAACAGTTGCATATACTGTAATCATTTAAACACTTCTCTTAGGTAAGAGACAGTTCAACCAAAAATGTATTAATTTACTCATCCTCATGACATCCCTCAAGACTTTGAAACACAAAGAAATTTGTAATCATTTCTGTCCATTCATTGAAATACATGGAACAAGGATGTTTTGGAAGCTCAAATGTGTTTTCTTGATGTGCAAGAACCAGATTGGTTCTTGCATGTGACGCACACACGTTTGAGCTTCCGTTGACCATATTTGATATGTAATTTGATCAATGTTTATATGTGAATAAAAGCCTAAATTAAATCCATTTAAGCAGCCGATCATGTCTCGTTAGAAGACTTGGTTTAAACCTGCTCGCTCTGTGTAACACTTAAGGTGGTTTTCCAAATCTTATGTTATACTTAGGAAAATGACAGTTAAAGTCCCCATGAAATCAAAATCAAAATGTTTTGGCTTTTAGTTTAGGTTAGCCTTACTGTTATCTATACGCTAGTGTGCTCCAAAACAATGAGAAAAGATGCTGTGGCTAAAATCAGGCACTTGTTCACACATTTACTATTTTCTACATGGTGAATGGCACATAGTGCACTATTATAGGGGATAGGGAATGATGCAGACAGAGTAAATATGCATTGGGGCGAATTAAGTCTGGTTTCACGCTAGTGTCTCACGACCCGCTGCAGCGCGCACAGTCTGCTCCGGTCCAAAGACACGATAGCACAGAGCGGAGCATATATGCGAGTCGGCGCAGACCAGATAATGTATCGCACCCATTTGAATTCTGCACAGAATGCTGTATTTTAAAGTGATATGGAGGAGATTATGAGGAGAAACGGTTAGAGATTAGGAGGAAACTGTGATACTGTGATCTGCCAAGCTGTGATAAACAAAATGCTATTGGCTAATTTAAAAAAAGGGGAGGAGCTGTTCGATGTGTCCGATCCTGTCTTCCTGTTTCAGTAAAAATTAAAGGTGGGGTATGTGATTTTCTTTTTTGACCATTTTTTCAAAATCACTTGAAATCCTATTCCTAACCCACTTACAGCCACTGAGTTAGAAGCACTGAAATGAAAATTAAGCTATTTAATCATCTGTGGAACGGGCAGGACTCGAAAAACTCCAGCCATGACCACCTAGAATCATTGGACAGAAAATGCGTCAATCAAACGGTCGTACCATACCCCCCCTCCCCCATCCCCCTCGCCGCGTGTCCCCTTTGTGCGCATACTCAAAGCTCGTGACCCAGTCACAGTGAGTGCAAGTCGCCTCGGTACAGAGAGAGAAAGAGAGTAAGTGCAATCTCGCAAATCTGAGTTTTGCAGATGCATGATTGCGCGTCCATGTTCTTCGAATGGCTGGAGTCAGGCCCAGCGTTGGAGGAAAGAAGGTAGGACCTTTTGAGTTGTGTATTTTCAAAATCTGCCGGCCGTTTTGCAAATCCCATACCCTACCTTTAAGACAACCTACCTTTAAGACAACACATTGAGTAATGCTGAGTATTTCAAGGCACTACAGTTGACCTTTAAGGGGTTTTGTGCAACCCTTATAGTTTTTAAAGGTATTACTTAAGTGAAAAATAGATACTTAAGGGAAAATCTAAGGGTTTATGATGATTTACCTAAATAAACCCTTATGTAACACATAGCCCTGGTTTCACAGACAAGGCATAAGCTAGTCCCAGACTAAAATGCATGTTTGAGTTGTTTTAACTGGCATATCTTAAAATATGTCAGTGCCATTGTTTTGTCTCAAGATGATAATATTTTTTTTCAAAGGCATGTTTATAAAAGCTACTTAAATGTCCTAATTGAACTAAGGCCTAATCCTGGCTTAATCTAAACCTTGTCTGTGAAACCAGGCCTTAATGGTTATTTTCTGCAACACCCTTATAAGTATAAGGGAAACCTAAGCGCGATCTTAAGGGAAAATTACACTTAAGGTGCTTTATGCAACCAGGCATTTGTAACTAATTTGAACAAAAAGTTGCTAATATGGCTTGTACAGCTATGAATCCTACATAAATACTACGTAGTCTCTACAAAAACTGCAGCTTTGTCTATACACTCTATAAAAAATGCATAGTTGTTTTTTAAGAAGTTATATTATTGCTGAAACTATTGCCTACAGGCAGAAACAAAAGATTAAGCATTCTGTTGTGTCACAATGTAATACTCGCTTCCAGTGTAGACATACTGTTAGAGGCGGCTCTTTGTCGTCATGACAATCAATGCTATCTGACTGTTGTATATGTTTGTTTACAATTGTATTAATACATGAGACATGCGGTCTCAAGTGTATGGCACAAGTGGTCGTGATAGCAATGGGTGTTGGGGTGGAGGAATGGAATTGAGTAGGGAGAGGCTTTGATTAACTATCTTCAGAGGTTGTCTCTTTTTCAGGTGTGGTGGTTTCACCACAGGTACACTTTCCTGGCCTGGTTGGAAAGGATAGTGTTCATCACATAAATGTGCCATAAACAGTTCTAGATCAATCAATGCCGGGTCTGGATCTGGACTGTGGTCTGCCAATTGGTGATCTCTGGCATAGATTGTTACATGACAAAACTGAGGTGTAATTTCTGAGGACATCTAATGATCTTACCTTGGGATTCAGGCTGGAGAAGCTGAGTGAAGAGGGAATGGTGACATTTAGAAGAGCACTGTAAGCATCTTCTGCTTTCCTGTCCTGTGATTCAATGTTGAACACATTCACCATTAACTTCAGCTTCTTTACGTCGGTAGTGTAGTGAAAAATCTGAAGGCCGTTCCGCCTGTAAAAACACACCGACAGGTTAGACGCATTTCACATCACCTCTATGATGTTATGGCAATTCCAATCCATTTACGGCTCAGGTAATTGGATCAAAAGTGTTCATGAGCAAAAATGGGTCATCATTTAAAGGAAGCAAGGATCAGATTGGGTATATTCTTTCTTTGTAGCATGATGGGAGATATTCAGTTGATAAATTCATGTCTATTCAGTCATCTATTTCTCCTTTCAGAGGAAGCATGATACTGAGCTTACATGGGGAACGGTGTGTTCTGCTCATCTGTAAATGTAGCCGTCATCTGAAGGTTGCTCTCACATTTGTTATCTACTCCACATTCTTTTTGTATGTGGATCTAAAGAAAAAGATGACATTGGTGGAATATAAGCGAGAATGTGAGCAGGTGGTGAAGGGCATACATTGTATTTCCAAAAAAAAAAACATAATTTGTGTTTGAGCGAGGCAAAGTATGCTGTCAAAGGTACCTCAGCTCTGGCAGTCAGAGCATCTCTTTGGCTGATCACAGGAAAAGCATTGAGGTCCTCCAACGTCGGTCCGCCTGAGGGAAGAGGCTCCTCCAAAGACACGTTCAGCAAGAAAACTATCGGCACCACCTTGTCTTGGATCGTATTGAACTGTGAGAGTTAAATACAGAGACAATATATCAAATCTCTAACAATTAGCCCAATTTGACCACAGGGTTAATGAATCAACCCAAACATTAACATGTCGGCCCACTTGATGCATATGCTAGAGCCTTTCCATCAGATAAAAATGGCAATTTAAAGGATTGCCTTGAATCATACCAGCTCGAGTTTCAGAGAACGACAATCTCCAGACGGATTAACTGCCAGTGTATCTGCCCTCTTTGTTGTCAAGGAAACGAACACGAGTGTTCCGAGAGATCTGATCGGCTTCCACCGTATATTGAAAAGCTGAGGAAAACAACAGATCTTTCTTACACTTTATGTCGGATTTTGATTCTGACAGTCAGAATGTGAAACAGTGCATTGCATCATACATTTCACATGACTATAACATTTAGAGGTTTTGCATTTTATATTTAGGGTAACAAATTGAGATGTGGGACTTACTAATACTCTTCTGGGAATTGGTAGTGCCAGTGCTGAATGTGTAGGAGAAACAGATCTTTGCTTCAATACTGCATAAGGAAAAGACAAACAGAATTAACTGATAGACATAGACATTAAAACAACAGTTTTGACTAGAGCTGTACAGTTAATCAAATAAATAATCAGTATTAAGATTGCTGGTGTGATTAAATTAGGAAAATATATATTAGAGCATAACATTTAGATCTACTCTCATAATGTCAAAGATTTCGATTTACAACCTTTTTTTTTGTGTATAATGCAATGGTCAGTCTGAGGTGACTTTTTTCAGGAAAATCAATGTAATAGATTTTTGCTCAACAATATTTTTTGATTATTATTTAGCATTTGGAGGGGATTTTATAATACTATACAATATTTATGAGCTATGTCTTATGAGCTATTAGAATTTTGTATAAAATTCAATAAATGCAATATTTCACGTTAAAATAAGGTCTTATTTCTTAATCATTCTGATCTAGTGTTTTGGGAAATAACTTTTGTAGTGGGCTTCCTCCATTTCCATGTAAACCAAAAAATGTGAAAGTTGTAGCAAGACGTTTGGGGATTTATTACCAGGCATCACAGGTTTGAGGGTTGATAACTGCTGGTGTCACAGTGAAAGTATTCTTTAGGTGAATCACGGGGCGTGCCCTTTGTAGACGGGAGATAAAGAAAACACAGTGAGGGAGGGACCCCTAGTCTGAAGAAAAATCACTATGCTTACCATAACTTACTATTGTGATATAATAGTTAACTGTCTTGATCTACTAACTTGATCCTAAACAACTAAAATATGTAAAATATGTCAAACTGAAAAAATACAGTTACACTATCAAGTCACCTAAGCAAGACCACACGATCATCTAATGATCCGACCGCTATGTCTGGGTAACTGTTTCTGTCCACATCCATGCCACCACTGATGGAATAACCAAATGTCTGAAATCCACCACCTGAGATGTCTTTTCCATCAATGACCTGAGGATATAATGTAGGAGCAAAAGTTAGACATTTGCAATATACTGTCCTGTCCTATCTAAAGTATGTCTAGTTTGAAAGCAGTGTGAATATATATAGTAAACAACACATATTACACAGACAAATAGTCAGGATTGACCCAAATTAGTGTAAAACCAAACCTACGCTAAAAAAATGGGTCACAGACACAAATACATGAAGTTTTTGTGAACTTTCTATTCAACAAAGAATCCTAAAAATAAACCTTGTATCACAGTTTCCACAAAACATATTAAGCAGCACAACTGTTTTTAACATTAATAACGTTTCTTTAGCACCAAACCAGCATATTATAAAGATTTCTGCAGGATCAAGTGACGCTGAAGACTGGAGTAATGATGCTGAAAATTCAGCTTTGACATCACAGGAATACAATTACATTTTAAAATATATTAAAATAAAACAAATTTTAAAAATGTAATATTTCACAATATTAGCTACCGTTTTTACAGTTTTTACTTTAATAAATGTAACCTTGGCAAGCATAAGAGATTTCTTTCCAAAATATTTTTTAAATCTTACCAACCCCAAACTTTTGAACATTGAACATTCTAAATGTTAATTTAACCTAAAGTTGTACTTTTATAAATCTGTAAATAATGACTACACAATAATGTGAGGAATCACTGTTGTGGTCCTTCCAGTACGTAAAGTTTGAGGTATAACGGTTTGTAATTTATGTCGTAGAACTAGATGTTAAAGTCTTCTAAAGAAATGCTAAACACAGACTTCCTTTTACTTCAAAACAGCTATTCAATTTTTTTTTTTTAATTCTCAAAATGCTAATGGCTCTAACATGCTAACTCTCTTTCAGATTTTAATACTACAAACTAAACTATAAACTTACTCTTTAAACATGCTAGTTAAATACTTTAAAAAAATAATCCAATATTTAAAAATTGACTAAATAAAAATATTCTCATCTCACCTGACTTGGCTTTTGGGAAATACCCACTTTGCTACCCATCCATATAGAAACGCTGCCTGTACTATGATATGGAGCACCAACAGCAAAATCTGTGAAGGAAAGGAGGAGCGTCAAAATTTAGTCAAATTACTTCTTAGTAATTCCACTAGAAGGCAGCAAAGTAAAATGTCCTTGACTATCACTCTGACTGAGCACTTCACACAAAAGTGAATTATTGCAAATAACCAGCACATTAAAAATAAACTAATACAAGCTAAATACATGTTACTTGTACTGAGCAAATACAGAAAAAACCCCACAAATTCTACCTTGGAAGCCGTCCTGGTTCACATCACCAATAGCAACAACAGCCATGCCAAAAGCAGAGTCCTTAGGCCCAGTGAGTCGTCGGACCACGTCAGATGTGTTACGAAAAGACCCGTTCTGGTTCATATAGACATAGACTGCACCACCTTCATCTTTTTTCCGGTCAAAATAGAAAGGGGCTCCAACAATCAGATCCTTCCAGCTATATGGATAATATGAAAACACCTCCATGTCAAGTTCATCCGTTTCATTAATGACCTCAATTAAAAAAGGGAGCGAAAACCCAAGAATTGTATTTACCCATCATTGTTAAGGTCCACAACAGCAACACTGTTGCCAAAATAGGATCCTACTTGTTCCCCCATGATACTTATTTTGACTTCTCCATTGTCACCATTATTAAAAAATTCAGCCATCATCACAGATCCTCTGGCTTCGTCTCTTGGAGCTCCTGTTACCACTGTGTCTTTGTCTTTGCTTAGTACATCTCGATCCACAGCTATAGAGTAACCTGCAGAGCAATCAGTCAACAATAACCAAGTGTTATGTTCTATATCTACATATTTACATAATTGTAAAAAAATGTATGTGTAAATATATATATATATATTGTTGTTCAGTATTAAGGCAAAATATAGGGATCCATTATGTAATTAGGATAAATGTCAGTGAACAATCAGTTGATGCAACACAGACACACACTTTATATATATATATATATATATATATATATATATATATATATATATATATATATATATATATATATATATATAATTAAACTTTAATTTAAAATATTTTTAAAAATATGTATTGTTGTTTTCAAAAACTGAACGCATAGTTGTGGCACTGCCTTACCAATGTAAATATTCCCTTTTTTCATGTCTTGAAGCTTGCTCCTCACTTTATCAAACTCGTCATCCGGGTTATGCCACTGTGAATATGTATTTCCTGCGAATGATAGACAATTATTACAAGGGAATTTAGAAAGGAATTTTGCATTTAGAAAGAAAAATGCTGTTTACAGGAAACAGATTTCCCTCACCTTGCCAGTTGAAGCATCCAGGTGCACCGAGGAAGATCTTCATCTGAGTGACAGCAGCAGACATTCCAGCAAGACACATTCCTTCAGTATTCTGATCTTCTCTGGGGTCACACACCTCATCGTACGACTGCCACTGAGAGTCTGTTTTGTTATACTCTAAATTATTTCCACGAACAAAGCACTTCCCAATCATGCGAAAGTTGGTTGCGAAGTTCCGTATATAACGATGGCCACACGCCTATTAAATAGAGTGATGAATATTGATGTTAAGTTGGAAAGAGCAATGGATTGACTTTTCATAGACCAGAGGCCAACATTACAAGTAAGAGGAGTCGGGTCTTTATTATGAAACTCACCAGTACACGGCCCCCTGGTTGACTCTGACTGGCTATCGACACACCAAGCCACATCCCATCTATTACATAATTTTTAGGGTCTGGTTTATCTTCAGGATCTGTATAACACAAAGCAATTATTCAGATCGGTTCTCTCTGTAGTAACACGGAGACATGATTGCTGTCACACTTTGAAACAGTCTCATCCCACAACAACAGTACTAAATTGTACATTTCCTTTCACATAAAATAATAAAAAATAATAAATGAAATAAAAGAGGGAAAAATGAATAATGCACATTTAAGTCCAGTTTGAATGGCAGGCACAAGTAATAATTAATAATAATAAAAATAATAATAATGACAATAAATATTATTACAATTAAATAATAGTATCATTATTAATGTTTAATTAACACTTTATTACTATTTTATTGTTATATATTATTTTTATTTGATTCTTATTTTAGTATTTTTACAAACAAATATATAAATAAATAAATTTACTTATATGAATGCAAGAAAAATGAATACAATTTAAAAATAACAACAATATTAATAATACTTATAAATACTTCAAATGGAGAAAACTAGAAAATGTAAGCGTCGTATGATTGGCAGGAAAATTACTTGAGTTGAGCAGATTCAGTCTTTTGCAGTCTTTGCTCTCTGCAGTGATTTGACAGGCATATACGTCTCCAGTCTCATTGGCTGACAGGCCAGACTCTGCTTTCTCCTTCGGTGCTCCTACAAGAAGTCTAAAACATGTATAAACCTGATTGAGCTCAAGTCTGTCTCGAGGCAGTGTATTACGCCAGTTGCTCCAGTAAAACAGTAATGGTTGTTGGAGAAAAAAAAAAAAAAAAACATAAGGATAAGGCAAAAATTCCCATCCAGCCAAGTGCCACGTATTGCTTGTATCTCCACAAAATTTAGTTTTCACTGCAGATAAACTTCAGCAAGTCTAACTGTTATCTGTCTGGGCTTGTCAGGCTACGTGAACTCATTTTGGTTGGAAGGACTTGTCAGAACCCATTACTTCCAAGACACAGTTCAACTATGGACAGAAAACCCCACTGTAAAAGCTAGTCTTTCAACTACTTTCAGAAACCTGCTGTTTAAAGTGTCTGATAAACATACAGCATCTTAAAACCGCAGGAGATGAGGATCACATTTTACTCAAATGTTCATTTTCAAACAATATGGAGAATGGGTTTGCGACTTTGTGTAATACCCGAACAAAAGGGTGTCTCTCCTTCTCTTCCTTGCATTTCCAAAGGCGAGCTATTATGATACATTCGCTCTTCATTCCTTGCAGAGAAAATAGCTTACTCAAGCTCCCCCTATGGATGAGTAACCATTTTGTTTTTGATTATTAAATCTAGATAGATACGAGTCAGGCTTAAGATACCCACATCTGCCATCAGGGAATAGATGTAATCCTCTAGAGCCCTTGAGGAAAGTGAGCAGAATTAAAGAGGCATTTCATAAAACTATAATCACAAAATCAATGAATTTTATTTCAATATTTGTGAGAGCACGACAGACATAATAATGACTAAAGCAGTGCTGCCTGTGCGCTCGATTCATTAATGTTTCATGATTTTTGGAGTCATGCACACTAGTTGCTATTTTATCCACCTTGCAGCCTGAGGGCTCATAAATATTCCACTCTGTGAGGGATGAGATCTCATCAGATCATGACTCGTGTCTAACGGGATTATGAATTGGCTTTAGTGGGAGATGCGGTCATTTCAACTTCTTTAAATTCAGTTTGGCAAATTTGAACAGAAATGCATTATGTCTGACAGTATAATTACCATAGATTTCAGAACTTGGGTTATAAATAACTTGAATATAGACACTGAGTAGGATTTTCTGTTTCTAGTATACCCGCTTATTGTGCAGAGACAACTATGTAAACCATTGTAATTTTCCTTACAATTTCCAATGTAAATACAATTTACATTTACATTGTAATTATCAAAATTATGTAGACTTAAAGCCATAGTTCACTCAAAAATTACTCCCCCTCATGTCGTTCCAAACCTGTATGACTTTCTTTCTTCTGCTGAATACAAAAGAAGATATTTTGAAGAACTGTTTTTGTTCATTTAATGAAAGTCAGTGGGGTCCAAAACAACACTCGACCCCATTGACTTTTATTATATGGACATATGGACAACTAAGGTATGAAAAAAAAATATTGTTCTGCAGAAAAAATGAAAGTCATAAATGTTTGGAATAACATGAGGGTGGGTACTAATTTACATTTTGGTGAACTATCCCTTTAAATCATGGTTCTAGTCCTGTCATGTATGCAAATCCCATAAGTGAACATATTATTACTGAAATACGCTGCCCCAAAAGAACAACAAATGCACAGTCTGATGTTTCCTTTGTGCTCATTTTCACAACATTCCTTTCCGCTGCAACACAGTTTCTGTACTTGTTCATATGCATCACACATTGTGGTGAGGTAGACTGTGAAGAGGACACAGACTGAGGTCAAAGTCAAAGGTAGGGAAAGAGAGGAGGAAGACATGGAGGGATAACGAAAGAGAAAGGTGAAGTGAAAGACATCCCTCCCTCTCCCTTTGGGCCTAATTTCATTTGGACCCCCACTAACATCCCCCTCAAAACCACCACCACCAACCACAATCAGCTTGCTGCTCCGCCTCATTCCTGTCATGTGACTCCAAATCTGCTTTCAGCAAGGACAAGACAGGAAATGAGAAAGTCAAGAGAAGGTGAATGAGCAAGAAAGAATGTCAGATTCTTCCTCGTCGCTGCATGTTCACCACAACAGAACCTTTTAATGAGCGCTGTTGCTCATCTCATATACAAAAAGGGCGTTTACTTAAAGTCTTAAAGGAGCGGATGCAACAAAATGGTCTGTTCAAGTGTCAGAGAGAGTGTGGAATTAAAAACTAAATTATAAGAGGTTTTCGTGTAAATGATAGTTCACCCAAAAACAACAATTCTGTCATCATTTGCTCATGTCACTCCAAACCTTAATGGCTTTCTTTCTTCTGTGGAATATAAACGAAGATATTACGAGAAAAGTCTCAGTGATCTTTTTTTTTGTCCATTCAATGGAAGTCAAAGGTAACCAAAACTGTTTGGTTACTAACAGTCTTCTAAATATCTTCTTTTGTGTTTTGCAGAAGAAAGGAAGTCATACAGGTTTGGAATCACCTGAGAGTAAACAATGACAGAATGTTCATTTTCGGGAGAAATATTACTTTAACCCTTTAACATACTGGCTAGAAATCAGTCATCTATAAGCATTACCATTTAACCTAAACATATACTGGTCATACACAGTTCAAAGGTGACAGATTATTTTACTCCAATGTGCGATAAATGTCTAGCCTGGGAAAACCCAGACAACTTCCGGCAAATTTAGATTTGCTCTGAAAGTTAGTCTGGCAAAGAGCTCATTCAAGCCCATTTCCAATCCGTCGAAATCGAGGCACCAATCAGAAACGTTGGGGCGGGCTTTACACGATGACGACAGCGCTGGGATTTTGAAGCAGATTTTGTAGCCTACATTACAAAGATGGATGCCGCCGTCGAACATCACTTGTTCGGATCAGCTATCGCGTCGGTTTTAAGTGATTTGAACGTTTCCTTTTTGTTAAAAACCGAGCAAAGATCAACACTCGGAGATGTTTCCGCCGCTCTGCATACGTCATCTCCTTCATCGCTCTGATTGGTTTTAGGTCTATCCGCGACGTCCGTTGGTGACGCCCCTCTGGAAATGATTTGTCTATGACGCTTTGCCAGACCATAACTCAGTTACAACTGAGAATGGTCTGGTTTTAACCAGGCTAATAAATGTCTGATTTCTAACACAAAACTACTGCAGAGAGGTTTCCTGCAGTTTGTTCAGTGAATCATGCCACCAGTGCAGTACAGCCCGTTTATCCTTAAACAGATACCAGTCACATGACATGGGTTTTACCACTACAATCATCTACAGATCTGGTGGTAAGCAGCACATACCTCAGAGGCAAGTTTATAAACCATAAGATAGTTGAGGAGATTGCATTCACTGGTGCTTCATTTTATCGAAGCTGCTCAGTTTGAGAACATAATGACTCAACCTGAATAGATTAATTTAATCTTTTCCACAGCATTAGTCTTCATTTTGATTTTCTGTCAAGATGGAAACATCATTCGGTGAACAGCAAATAACACAGATTACACTTTTATTTTTGGTCTAGTGAATCTTTTGAAGATATATGCCATCTGGAATTTTCCTTTAGAAGTTTAGAGGTTAGAACATTTTAATAGAATGACTCTTTTACATTTTAAAAAACTCATACTGTATATATATATATATATATATATATATATATATATATATATATATATATATATATATATATATATGCCTCTTTTTGATTTAAATTAGATATTGAAAGTTTTTGGCTTGAGAAAAAACAGCTATGAGTCAGATGAGATCACATGGAACACAACTTCCCACCTGCAGAAGAAGAAGGTGTGTCTGCTTCAGCGGTTTCACTGAATGAATTTTAGGGCCAGAGTTCACATGTTGTACCTTTGTTTAATGTGTGTGTCTATAAATACACACACACACACACACACACACACACACACACACACACACACACACACACACACACACACACACACAAAAGGTCCTGTTCTAAAAGCCTGACCTCTCAGTAAATAGTCCTTACAGAAAAAGGTCCCTTTCTCAGTGGCCATGCTCAGTGTTTGAGACTGTCTGGCCATGAACAAAGAACTTGATTAGGACAGAAAAACTTTCTGGCTGTGTTGCACACATTCAAGGTCAGGCAGGTGAAATGCATGTCCCTAATCGCCTACATATAGCGATGAATGAGATGAATGTGAAAGCAACCAAAAATTGTACAAAGTAGTGCAGTAAATGACATGTACAGTAAGAGAGCTCAATTCAAAAAGAGATCAAATGCAAAGACAATTATTTTACAAAAGATTTCTATTTCAAATAATTTCTGTTCTTTTGATCTTTCTATTCATCAAAGAATCCTGAAAAAAAGGTATCATGGTTTCCACAAAAATATTAAGCGGTACAACTGATAATAACATTGATAATAAATAAGAAATGCTTCTTGAGCAGCAAATCAGCATATTAGACTGATTTCTGAAGGATCATGTGACACTGAAAACTGTAATGATGCTGGAAAATTAATCTTTGACGTCACATGAATAAATTACATTTTAAAATATATTAAAATAGAAAAGTTTTTTTTAAATAGTAATAATATTACACAATATTAATATTTTTTACTGTATTTTTAATACAGCCTCTAAGTCCGTCTAACGTTTTTCTTTAATATTAACATTTTTATCAGGCTCCTATGTTTAGGTTTCTACCCAAGTACCAACATTTCTGAATGGGCTGAGGCTGGGATTTAGAGAGTTTGAAGTGAAAGTATTTGATGAACGTATAACTATGTGCGGAGAGCATTCACTCAATATTATTATCTCATTTTTGACACATGTGGCTTTTAGAGGCTTTTGCATCGGAGGTCTTCATATCTAATCCTAAAACCCATGATGCTCCACAAGCACAGCAAGTCATTCTCCCTCCCTTCCAGCCCAGAGGCGAGACAAACCTAGCTACTCTACTTCAGCTGCAGGGCTCCAGACTAACTTTTCCACTGGTTGCACTGGTGCTACCAAATTTCTCAGTTGGTCGCACCAGCATATGATTTGGTCGCACTTTTTTTTTTTTTTTTTTGCT